CAAGAACAGATATTAAGGCGTTTACATTTACATCTCTCCGCCTCGGCGAACAGCATGTACGTTATCGACAGACAGAAAAATAAATCTGATTAGATCGTGGCAATATCTTATGACCATACAACTGTAAATGGTTTGCAACTGATAAGGCGGGTAACATAAGCTGCAACTTTGATTCTGCTCCAAAAATTTAATCTGTTTATAACATTATTAACAATTTTTTACCGTATTACAAAGTCAAGTATCACACAAGAACTGAACTAGAAACTGGTCCCTGCTTTGCCAGTGCTAAAGCAACATTCTGTCCCTGTCAAGGGGGGAACACATCTTGGCCAGAATTTGATTCACCTCCAAAGTATTCCCACATGCTTAGACGCTCAAGTTCAGTCATTCATTAACTTCTGTGAAGCAAAAATTATGTAACTAATGGTTTCAGTGACTGTAGTTATTTCTCTGAGCTTGCTATAATTATGAGTCCCTGAGGAGTATTAAAAAGTCCTGCAAAAACCTCGATCCATACCATAGCATATTTTTAAATTTTTATCTAAGCTTGTAACAAAAGGAAGATTCATACTCAGCAAACAACTGCTTAATCTTCTCTTTCATCCCTTGAGACAACGGTTCCAAGTGATCGTTAGCTGACTTTGAAACGTAGCTGATTTGACCCTCATGCGATGATCTGCCTTCGGTTGCAACATAGTGCTGTTCGTCGTCCTACAGCAAAAAGGCGAGCGTTGAAATTAAAAGAGAAAAAATTTTCGATCAGCAAAATAGACATCGTTAATCTCAAGTTATTAACAACTATATTGTATCCTTGTCAACCGGTTATATATATAGCAATTTCAAACATTTAAAGTAATGACAGAGTAAATGAAATCTAAGCAGTTAGGACAAAATTTTAGTCATCAGTGTTCTACAAAATGGCTCCATATATCTGCCGAAAACTGCATACCAAATGTCTCACATACAAGTGCAAGAAAGACAATAGGATATACAATGACCGGCTGGTCACAAATAAGGCATTTATAATGATGGATGCATTGTCAAAAATGGACGACAGCCGCCTTGCGAAGCAAATATCGAACGCAAAGCCTGATGGCAGGATTGGAAAATTTCTTTAGAACCGAGACTGAATCAAAAGGACAGAAGAGTGGGCACGCATTTATCCGATCCAGGTGAAATGCCTATATGGCACGAACGATAATTGTGTTACCATATCAAATATTTTTTGTCATGACTAAAAAAACATTTCAATAAAGGGCTGAAATAAATCAACACGTTTAAAGTTATGGAACCTACCTTGTAAAGAAACTAAGACAATACCACATGATATCAGAAACTATGCTGCTTACGAGATACTATGCTTGGAATGTCGCACGTTCTATCGGCGTGACTAAGAGTATTGTAAAATCTCGAGTTAAGAAACAGAAACATCTGTAATGGCAGAAGAACCATCTTTCGCACCAGTTAAACATTTTTTGGTGCAACTGCACAAGCCAAGTAACTGTAGCATTCACATTTTAAATTACTTTCGTACTGCAGAAAATCTTAAAATCAAAGAAACAACACAGAAAACTACATATACCATTACATCACAATACAGACACAGCAAGAACGCCGAAAGCAATAGGTTTCTGATTCCATGGTCGGCTGCACGACAAACAAGAAAACAGTTTTATTCAGAACAAATCCAATGCTTCGACCGAACTGACATCGGTCACCATCAGAGAATGAACACGAAACAAAAACAGAAAACACTAACCTATTTACGAAGATAAAAAATATGGTAAAGAATGCTTTATATTCTCTGGTTTTGGAAGACAATATTGATGAAGACACTGCCAACGGTCAGACAGCGACTATAGACATGCAACGTGCCGAAACTATATGGCCTGGTAAAACTTCATAAGCCCGATGGGCCTCTCAGACTCATCGTTCTAATGGTTGGCAGTCTCACTTACAATCTGAGTAAGCAACTAGATAAAATTCTCAGGTTTGGCGTGTCAGGCTTTCAACAGCGACTGCAGAACAGCGGTACCTTTGTACAAGCCATTATAGCGATAAAGAACCATAATCTATCGAGCAGTATAATAACACTGTCATTGAATGTTTACCGGACATGGCTTTAAAGATTGTAACCAAGAGCAGATCTATGTGAAAAAATACAAATCTTGCATTGTCAGAAGACAATGTTTACTTAATTAATATAATAACTTGCTATGTTTATTTTAAATTTGATAAAGAAATGTTCAGACAGCGTTGCGGTATTTTGATGGGTTCTCCTGTTAGTACAATCTTAGCCGAAATCAATATGAATCATCTGGAGTCCAATGCCCTTTCTCGCTATTCACCTCACCTCGAACCTGCACTTAATTTAAGATATGCAGACATCATTTTCATTTTGCATACTAATCCTAATCATTTTTCACCTACTGCATGAATATTAAAATAACCAAGATCCTAATAATATCATAAATATGCTTCAGAGCACAAACAAAATAACCAGATGGCGTTTCTTGAAATTATCCATACACCGGACGCCACTAGCGCATTCTTATTCACAGTATTAAGGAAACCTCAGCATTCTAATCGCCTTATTTTAACACTTCATTATACATTTCTAAATCTGTCTTCATCAGTATCACGAAAGCATGCATCACAGAGTTTCAAGCGATTGCGGTGATAACCGACCTTTTAGAGGTGAACTGAAGCACCTTACATCTAATTTCCTTAAAAATGGATATGCCAAATATTAAATTGATACAGTACTCAAACGCAACAAATTTAGTCAGCTAAGTCTTAATTTTTGATTGTAATTCCCCCATCACGATAACCTTTGTACCGGACATACATGAGGAAATTAGACGTTTTTAAAAAACAACACTTGTATTTTTCTACGGAGGATAAATCTTAGGAAACCTACGGTACAAAAAGACTGATCCTCACCCAGCTTGGAGAGTAAAAACGTGGTCTATCAGATAACTCGCAAGACCTGTCGAGCGTTAAACCTACTTTAAGAAAGCACAGAAAGCCATCAATCTGGTCCTGTTGTTCATGCCTTGGAAAATGACTATAATAACAACGATGCAATTGTGGTCGATCGACACCTGAACAAAGTGAAGCTGTTAATCAAGAAGTCGCTATACACCGTTGCCGGTAAAAATCGAACTTGCAATGGTCGCACTGGCTCCACTGAAATTTCTGCATGATTCATAGCTTAACTGGCGACCTGTTTAATGTCTAGTCAGTCGGGTCATGCACCAGTTGACATAGCAGTTCGTTTTTGCTTAATGTTCATTT